ACTACAGAGATTCTGTAGTGCATCTCCCTGAGCTCATAAACTTAGTTGCATGGCTGTATTACAACAAATTTTTTTCACCTACAAGGGCCAGAGTTTTAACCTAAATTATTTCATTTTCTCTGTAGAAAGTTGTATTTTGTGGTAATATTATTTACCAGTTGCTCTAATGTTATTATAAAGGCATCTTCATTGGATGTCCTTTGGATATTAATTTTAAATCATTCCTTAAACCAGTATTTAATAAATACCTACTGTGCACAAAATATTGTGATATTTTGGGTTTCTTTCCTTGAGTTCATTTTTGTTTTGGTACCAGTGGTTGAGCCCAGGGGCATTTAACTGCAGAGCCACATCCCTAGCCTTTTTATATTTTGAGACAGGATCTCGCTAAGTTGCTTAAGGTCTCACTAAATTGCTGAGGCTGACTTTGGATTTGTGATTCTCCTGCCTCAGCCTCCCAAGCTACTGGGATTGCAAGCATGCACCACTATGCCCAGCTTTTCCCTTGAGATTTTTAGTCAGGAATAGGATAATATTGTACACATAGGATAAGACTGTAAAAAAGTGTATGTGCCATAAAAAAAGGTACAAACATTGGAGGTTTTGAAAAGGAGGGTAAATTGATTCTGGCCAGGATTGTAGATCATTTCATGGAAATATGTTTGAGGTAAACCTTGATTTGCACCAGCAGAGCAATTAAGAATCCTTTATTTTAAGAAAGCATTTCACAGTTTATAAAGCTTGCTCACAATAGCATATTTGATCCTAATAACAGTTCTGCAAAATAAGTCAAAGATATTTATTCCCATTTTACAGATGAAGGAGTAATGAAATCTTAGAAAAATTAAGTGACTTCCAGCATTATAGAGCTACAAAATGAAAGATTCAGATTGTGAACCTAATCTTCAATCTCCACATGGAACCTTCTGATGTATCAATAAGAGAAGCAAATATCTGTAAGAAGCTGTAAATTTTAGAAATGGCTAATTGTTTAGATAACTTAATTATTATAAGGATGCAAGTCCTGACATAGAAATAAAGTTGTAATGAGGTCAGCAGAATAATGGCTTCTCAAAGATGTCCACTTTCTTTCTAATCCCCAGACTCTGAATTTACTAGATTATGTAGCATAGGGGAATTAAGGTGATCTGAAAACTGGTAGATTTTTGTGGATTACTGAGGAAGACTCAACACAGGGTCCTTAAAAGTGTTTCCTTAAGGGTTAAAGAAGCTGGTGGGAAAATGAGAGAGAAGGAATATGACAGAAGCAAGGTCAGAGACTGCTGAGTGAGGGGGACTTACTACCCTTGTGAAGATGGAAGAAGGGGACTATGAAGCAAGGATTGTATTCAGTCAAAAAGCTCCAGGTCAAGGAAACAGTCTCCTTGAGAATTTCCAGAAGTGAATACAGCTCTGCAAACACCTTAATTTTAGCTCAGTACATTTTGGACTTCTGAACTATAAAATAAAACTATAAGTTTTTAAATTTGTATTGTTTTAAACCACTAAATTTTTGGTAATTTGTTGTGGCAGCCATAGGAAACCTGATGCACCTTGGAAGCATTTAGTGTGGGGGAAGACTAATTAACAGGCACTTCAGGCACTCCATGACTAAATTTCTTAAATCCATTGTCAGCATTGGAAAGCCGAGGGAGCTGGAGTATAAACTATTTTGATGTCTGCTGATAAGAAGAAAAACTGAAGAATCTATTATTGGGGCTAGGAATACTTCTTTTGAGACTTTTATCCTTCAAAGAACAAATAAGTAAATCTAGCTTGTTAAAAGACTGTGACTGGGCTGGGATTGTAGTTTAATGGTTGAGTGCTTGCCTAGCGCCTATGAGGCACTGGTTTTGATCCTCAGCACCACATAAAAATAAATTTAAAAAAAAAAAAAGGTATTGTGTCCATCCACAACTTTAAAAAATATTTTAATTTTTTTAAATACGACAACTATGACTGTATCTCCCACATATTTTATACATCACTAAAAATCTCATTGACATTACATTTCACTTCCCTCCTGTATCCCATGAAAATTATTGAAAGGATTTCACGACCATTTTGACCCTAAAAATCTATTTTCTGATGCTTTCCCATCAAACCACAGTTACAAATCCAAAGACTGAAAAGTTTCTAAATGAACCGGAGTTTTAGTTGTAGAAGTTATATTTACACTACAATAATTTTTTAAATTAAAAAAAAAATTTATCTTTTTACAGGCAGAAATCTATTCTGTCTGAGGCCTCCAATAAAGAGAAAGACTTGAGTTTATTAATAAAAGCACAGGAGTCAACTAAGGCATTAGAAAGGAGCACTATTTTTAACTTATTTTACACTAGTTAATATTGTTACCAATACTATTCTTGTCAGTTTTTTAAACCACAATACTTAAATTAGGCCAAATGTGTATGTAAAAATAGAACACAAATTTTAAGACATTAAGACTCTGGTTAATCTTGTTGCACTGGGCACAATTTCACAGACCTGTAATCCAAGCTACTCAGGAGGCTGAGGCAGGAGAAACACAAACTTGAGCCAGCCCCGGCAATTTAGTGAGACCCCGTCCCAAAACAACAACAACAAAAAAGAATAAAAGGGTTGGGGCTGTAGCTCAGTGGTACAGCACTTCTGTGTTTAATCACCCACCAATACTGCCCCCCCCCAAAAAAAAAGTGAATTACGTGTTCATATTTATAATCTTTACTAATGAAACCTTTTACTAAAAACAATGATTGGTCATTTTTTTAAATTACTGTTTGACCAAAGGTCCAATGTTCTCTGATATGCAAATGCTAACACATAATAGGGTGGGGCATGGGGAGGAAAGAATAGAAGTGCATTGGATTAGAAAAAGGGGAAAGAAGGGAAGGGATGGGGAATGGGAATTGGAGAGACAGAAAGAATTGCCCGTAACTTTCCTGTGTTCATATATGAATACACAATCAGTGTAACTCCAAATCATGTACAACCACAAAAATGGGAATTTATACTCCATGTATGTATATGTCAAAATACATTCTATTGTTGTGTATAACTAAAATGAACAAATAAAGAATATGCTTAAAAGTATAGAAAACAATCTTAACATAAAATTTATTTCTGTTTTACATTTTGATCAGAAGTTATTTTAACATAGCATATGGGTAATATAACTAATTCAATTAAGTAGTGATGGCAGGAGCTTTATTCCTACATATAACCTGGTAAATAATTAGTGCTTCATTGATCTCCATTGGCCTAATATATTTTGGCCTAATATATTTTGATTGTCTGTGTAAAAATTATAGTTTAAAAAATAGTAGAATATATTTTTAAAATGAAATTTAATTCAGTTTTAGAATCCCTGGGGAAACTATTTTGAAAAGTCTTTTACTGAATAATTATTTGGCAACATTGCAAAATGTGAAATTTTTGGACGGGCTTGTTTTTTTAAATTTGAAGCATAGTATATAATGAACATGTAATGGTCACAACTTTGTTTAAAACTATCATTTGATGGGATTTGAGCTGTAACTCAGTGATAGAGCGCTTGCTTAGAATGAATATGCAAGGCCCTGGGTTCAGTCTCCAGCACTGCAAAAACTATTTAAAATAAAAATAATAAAACTTTGTCATTTGTCATTTCTACAATACTTGTGGTAAAAATTTAAACAAATTTTGGCTACAAACTGGTTTACTAAGTAAAAGCTTGAATTATTCTTGACTCATAGTCTGAATCAAAAATAAGAGACTTAAAATTGTTTCCTAAGGTACTAAGAAGTTATTTTGGGGAGCTTTTGAAGTATGTTCTTTATTTCAAAAGATACTTTTTCTTTCTGGAAGTTCTAGTAGGCCTCATGAAAAATTCCGAATTTGTCACAAATGATGACTATGGAAGTCCTGGGCAATGAATCATGCACTTTCAGTAATAGCATCTTGAAAGCCTTTTGTAAAATGAAGTCATTTTCATAAAAGAGATATTTAGGCTAGAATCAAATTGATTTACATATTTCCTTTATTTCAAATATGAAGGGAAACTTTTTCTGAATATATTTAAACTTTTAATATGTAATCCTAATTAGAGTAATAATGTGGTAGTGTAGAAGTCATTGATTTATTTGTTCAACATATACATAGGGCATTTTAGATATATATCAGACATTATAATAGAATGAAGAAATTCAGAAGCACAAAGGAAACGTAAAAATCACCCCATAATTCTGTCTTCTAAAGGATATTCTCTCAGTCTATATGTATGTATGTTTATATGTGGTGTGTATATGTGTGTAACAGAGAGAGTCTCTTTAAATTGGTGGAGGCTGGCCTCAAACTTTGAATCTTCCTGCCTCACTTCCCCAATTTTGGGGATTACATCGTCAGTATGCCCCCCTTTTGATATATATAACTGTGTTAATAAAATGGTGTACTCTTCATATATTTTAAAAGCTAAAAAATACTATAGTAAAAATACTCCACTTAGAAACCTGAAGTATAGAATCCTGTTAAATTTAAATAGATAATGGAACACATACACCCTTCCCTGCTTCAAACCAGAATTTAAATCGAACTTTAAGTTCTTGGCAGTTTTTGAACCTGCCTTTCTCATTAATAAAATTAGTGATTTAAGCTCCGCGTGGTTAGATTTAAATGGAATGTAGAATTTGCATTAAAATATTACATATGCACCTCAGTAGCAGCTAAGCACTTACCCTGTTTCAGGGACTGCTATAAATACTACTCTGTATTTATTAACTTCTCTATATTTCTATTTTCGTTTTGTAGAGGAAAAAAAAATTGAAGCACTGAGATTAAGGGACTAAAATTACATAGCTAGAATGACAAGGGCAAAAAGATAAAACCCGGGCACTGTGACTCTTAGGTCCTGGTCTCAACCACTGTGCTGTGCTGCATCATAGCTTTTCTGTTGTTTTAAATTCAAATGTAATGGAGTGATTTACCTAACAAGTCCTTGATTTGTAATATAAAATTATTTGTGGTGATACATTTAATAGAATTAGTCTGTCTTTGCTGTAAGTATGTGAATCATAGCCAATGAGATGTAATTTATCACTCCCCCACCCATCTCTAGCATCTCACGCTGATCTCTGCCCTGTGGACCTTCCCACCTCACCCTGTTCCGCACGTCAGCCACCATCAGCTTCCCTGGATTGCCTGGGTAGGGGCAGTGAGGGCATACCCTGGAGGCTCACGAGGCTCAGTGCAGGCTAGGGCCCATACTGGCTGTGCTGCGGGGCGGGTCCCTGTGTGCTGCTGCAGAGTGCGGGATCGGAAGCCGAGCGTGAAGCAGCTGTGTAATCCACTGGATGCGGACCAGGGCGCTCCCCTGCTCAGTCCGGTACCCGCAGATTGGCTGGGCCTGGGGACACGTGACCGACATGTGGCTGTATTGGCGCAGCCCGCTGGGGTGTCACTGGAGACGGAATGGAGGTGCTGCCGGGCTCGGAAATGGGGTAGGTGCTGGAGCCACGATGGCCAGGCTGCCTGCAGGGGGAGGGAGGAGGCGATTTTCCCTTTGACGGTCTAACCCGGTGGCCTTTCCTTGGCACAGGGTCCGCTGCCATATGCCAAAAGAGGAGGCAGGGGCGTCGGCCCCCTTCTCTCCCCCACCCCCCACTGCAGCACCAGAGATGGATTTCCTGTGCTTTTGATCCAGGGTTTTTGACAGAAGAGGAAGAAGGGGGAGGGGTAGAAGTGTTAAGGGGAGTCTGGTGAGAGAGCTGTTTTTGAAGCTAGAAGGGGGTTTTGTTTTTATAATGCCTGTTGACAGAGTGGAGTGGAATAACAGTATCTAAGGAAACGGGTAGAGGACAACAAAGAATGGAGCATATTCATGGCGAGGAGCAAAAGCTCTAACCCATTGAAAGGCTTTTTCCTCCTTGGCCACAAGGACACATGCAGTGGTAGCCAAAAGAGGGGATACAGAGCCTCCGCTGATGGCTGATGTGGAATCTAGTATAAAGGGGTAATGGGAATGGGAGGAAGAGGAAGAGGCAGGTAATGCAGAGGTTTAGTGATGTTTTTGGTTGGTGAAATATTGAGCAATAGTAAAATGCCTGCTTTTATATAGCTTCTAAGTTAACTCTGTGAATAGAGTGGTAAAAAGATACCAGTGTCTTTGTTAGTTACAAAATGCAGTGGTAGAGGCTTTTTGTGGATGACTGCAGCACTGCTTTTCTCTCTGTTAAGCTGAAAGGACAACTGCAGAGGAATAAGAAACCTTGCAGCAAATGCCAGGGGTAGAATCCATTTATTAGAAACCAACTGTGGTTTCTTATAAATGGAGCCTAAATAGGAGAAAAATTATTGTTCGTTAAAGTAGGAAAAATATTAGTTTATTAATGTTTTGACATTTATCAAATGCTTAAATCTTACATCACAAAAGAGATGCTCAAATTCCTTGATTTAACAGAAATCCTGCAGGAAATCTTAATAAATTATGTATGAAACAGTGGATCTTTTGTTAGTGTAGCTTTTATGTCATTAATTAGGTCATTCAAGAGCAAGTTACTTTTTAATGTAAATTGTGATAATTTTTTCATAGGCCTAAATTTAAGATCTGCATTTATTAAGTAATCTCATATTTCTCTTTGGTCACTTTTAGATATCATTGAATAAAGTCTACAGGCAAATATTTAAAATTAAAGCACCATGGCTTTTTTTAAAGATATATTTAGTGAATATTCATAATATACTCTTGATACAAAGTGTTTTTTGTTGTTTTTATTTTTTCCATTACTTTAATGTCTGAAATTATGTTTTCAGATTGAATAATTTTAAATGCCTCATCTTTATGCATATTTAAGGTAACCTGCCTGCCACACCTCCTCACTCCCTGAACAAGAATGGCAGCGGCTTTGTAACGCCCTCCAGAATCAGTAACTGTGGCTCTTAGATAGGTTTATGTAATAGAAAGTCTTAACAGAACTTATAATTTGATTTATAATTTTTTCCAAGATAATAAGAAATTAGACTTCAAAAATTATATGATTTTCATCAATAAATTAAAACTATTCTTTAAAAATCATTTTTTGCTTCAAAAAGTACTTGATCAGGCTTAATAGTACTAAGGGAATCTTTAAATTTGATGGAAAGTGACTAGAATTTAAAATGTCACATTGAAATTGCAAATGAAATGTAATAGCTAATATTATTCAATTCTTTGAATCTCAATTTATGTATTCCTTGAAAGTTTATAACATTTTTATATGAATTTTCTCATTTTATTGTTTGATTGACTCAGTGTAGTAGTATTTTCACTTAAAATGTTAGAGTACTCTTAATCAGGTATATTGTGACTTTAAGCAAGGTCATGAATTGTATGAGGACTTAAAGAACTTAAATCTTCTCTTTTATTAAGTTCTATAAAACTATTTAATAGTGTACGTTAATATATAACACAAAATAATACATAACAGAAATTATTTGAAAAGCATATATCACTGACAAATCATTCATCAGTGAAAAGGAATCCCACATGATTGTGGGGTTTTAACCACAATATAAGAATACCTTATAAAATACTTAGTAGGTCTTTGAAATTATTCATTGTTAATATCAGAATTGTGCTATTAAGAAATAGCACAATTAATTAGGCAAATATTTAAAGTAAATATTCATGTTTTATGAACTGAAAACTATCGTTTTTATTTGCACTAATTATCATATAGATTTTTATTTTACCATTTTTATATTTTATACTGTTGTGTCACATAATTTAACCAATCTTTTTTGGAAGGGTTGGGGATACCAGTGATTGAACTTGGGCACTCAAGTACTGAGCAACATCCCCATTCCTTTTTTGTATTTTTTATTTAGAGACAGGGTCTCACTGCGTTGTTTAGCTCCTCAGCCTCCTGAGCTGCTGGGATCACAGGCATGCGCCACCCTGCCCACCAATTTAACCAGTCTTTTATAGTTTTATATGTTTAAATGTTTTCTTCAATTTTGATCTCACCTTCCTTTTTTTGAATTAGAGTCCAAGCACATAGGATGGAGTAGAGCTTGTAAAAAGATGAGTAATACTTGGGTAAATATATTCACTACATATTTATTAAGTGTACCTACTAAATGCCAAACCTACGAAAGATGTTAAAGAATGATACAAGGCATGAGAACTAACCTGTAAGGAACTCATAACAGAAGTATGTGAAATTTTATTGTCATTCCTAGGATCTTTTTTAATTCTAATTTGTTATATATGACAGCGGAATGCATTACAATTCATATTACACAGAGCACAATTTTTCATATCTCTGGTTGTATACAAAGTATATTCACACCATTCGTGTCTTCATACATGTACTTAGGGTAATGATGTCCATCTCATTCACTACCTTTTCTACCCCCATGCCCCTTCCCTTCCCCTCCCATCCCTTTGCCCTATCTAGAGATATTCCTAGGATCTTTAAAGGTTCATATAATCCGAAATATCTTCTAATTTAAAGGAAAGTGTAGGATCACTCATTGAAACACTCCCTTTTTGTAAAATCTGCTTGGAATCCTAGATAATTTTGAAAATTAAATTATTTTTGAAGTACTAAGTATCTTGGATATGCAATGAGAAGGTTAGATGAAGGAATTTCTTGATCTTTTAGTACTATCATAATATATGTGATTTTTGATCTCTGTAGTGTTAATGAGGAATGGAATACCAATGCTCATTTTGGCACAGATGACATTTCAATGTTATATAATTGATATGTTCCCAAAATTGCCTTTGTAAAAATCAGACCATGGCACTATCAATATTTACAAGGTCAGCCTTCTCCCCTTTATTCATACCGGTATCCCACTCCTCTTATAGGCACTCATTCAAATGTGTTCTTGTTTGTTTTGTTTTGTTCCAGGGCTTTGGGCAGGCTAAGCAGGTGCACTAGCACTGTGCTATACCCCCCAACAAAACAACACAAAATTTACTATCCTAATTTTTCTATTTTTTATTTTTTGAGACAGTGGTCTTACTCAGTTGTTCTGTCTGGCCTCAAATTTGCAGTCTTTCTGCTTCGGCCTTCTGAGTAGCTGTGGTTTCAGGCATGCACCATGGCACTTAGCCATCTTAACCATTTTTAAGTGTACAGTTCTGTGACATTAAGTACATTTACATTGTAGTACAGCCATAATCAACATAGATGTCCAGAACTTTTTCATCTCCAGTTGAAACTCTGAGAACCCCAACTCCCAGTTTTCCCCTCCTTTCAAACCCTGGCAATCACCACTCCACTTTATGTCTCTGAATTTGACTAGTACAGGAACTTCATATAAGTAGAATCATAATATTTGTCCTTTTGTGACTAGTTTATTTTACTTAGCATAATGTCTTCAAAGTTCATTTATGCTGTAGCATGAATTAGAATTCCTTCTTTTTGTTTGGTACTGAGGATTGAACCCAGGGGTGCTTAACCTCTGAACCACCTCCCCAACCCTTTCTATTTTGAAACAGAGTCTTGGTAAGTTGCTGAGACTGGCTTTAAACTCGCGCTGAATCCTCCTACCTCAGCCTTCCAAGTTGCTGGTGTTACACGTGTGTGCTTCTGTGCCTGGCCAGAATTCCTTCATTTGTAAAACCGGATAATATTTTTCATATATGTATACCACATTTTGTTCATTGATTTGTCAGTGTACACTTGGGTTGCTTTCATCTTTTGTCTATTAAGAATGATGCTGCTATGAACACGGGTGTACAAATTATTGTTTGAGTCCCTGCTTTCAATTCTCTTGTGTACGTATGCCGATTAATGTTTTTAATTTATATAATTTTTGAATTTTTTTATAAAGAGAGAGAGATAATCTTTTTTCTTTCTTTCTTTCTTTTTTTTTTTTTTTTTTTTTTTTTGGTAGATGGACACAACACAATGCCTTTATTTTTATATGGTGCTGAGAATCGAACTCGGGTCCCGCCCGTGCTAGGCAAGCGCTCAACCGCTGAACCACAATCCCAGCTCTTGAATAGTTTTTAACTCAATACCATTTTTAATATCTACTCATTTTACTTTATGTCAGTCAAGCATGTGGTGCTAACTCTGCTGCAGAGAATCCCATAATATTTGTTTTTACCTCTAGTGAAAGCTCTAGATTTTTTCCAAATTTCTTTTTTTATTATTATTAAAGTTTTCTAATTCTTTTTTTAATTATTATTAGAGCTTTGTGATTATACATAGTAGTTAGATTCATCCCGACAAACTTACACATGCATGGAAATCTATTTCAGTTTGTAATCCCCTGCTTTTCCCTCCTGTCCTCTCTCCTACCTCTCCTTCTGCTATTCTACTAGACTTTTCAAATTCCATTACACAGACAATGCTGTGGTATATGTCCTTATGAATGAGTCTTTATGAACTATGTTAGTTACATATCATTACATAACATATCAGAGAAACTTAGTGGCTTAAACAACATAGTGTCTTAAATAATAAACATTTTTTATTTCAGAGTTTCTGTGAGGCAGGAATTT